CCAGCACCACAACAAAACCACACTCCAAAAAGTAAATGGAAAGTATAATAAAAAAAAGAAACCACCACTTCAACCCCTAGAGTCAAAGAGTACCAACAACATTAAGCGAAGGCAAGAAAAACACACCAAAGTGAAAGCATGGCTTGCGAGGAAAGTGAGTGATGGAGAACACAAATTAAATTAGCTCCAAGGTGCCTGGAAGCACATCCAACCCGAGCCTCTAGCTCCAAAACACTGAGGATGAAACATTTCAGTTTCCAGTGAGCCTCTGCAATATGAGTGAGTCTGGGAATGTTATAAAACAAAGAAGCTGGGCAAGTTCAGGTATCAGGTTTGTCCACCAAACAAACCTCCTCTTAGCAGCATCTCTATCCCTCCTTGTCCCCAAAGCACTTCTGCCTCATGTTTTGAATAGAGAATTCTAATAGCACTGGGCTTCAAAGGAAGTTACCATTACTTGGTTTTTTAGAAATGAATATAGGGAAAACAGGGAGTTCTGGTAGTGTAGTGCCTAAGGCCCTTGACTGCTAACTAAAAGGCTGGCGGTTCAAACCCACCAGCCACTCCTCGGAAGGAAAACGGGGCAATCTACTTCCGTAGTGATACTGCCTTGGAAACCCAAGGAGGGGTCGCTATGAGTCGGGTCCGACTCGACAGCACATAACAACAACAACATAGGGAAAACAATGAACTAAAATGTAAGTGGTACAAGTAGGTACAACAAAATGCTGACAACCTAGGACTACCCAGGATTCCTCTTTTAGATATTATGATAAACAGAGAAAATACTGAAGTTGTCAAGGATTTCATTTTAACTTGGATCCACAACCAATGCCCAGGGCAGTAGCAGTCAAGAAATCAAATGACGTATTGCAATGGGCAAATCTGCTGCAAAAGACTTCTTTAAAGTGTTAAAAAACAAAGATGTCACTTTGAGGACTAAAGTGAGCCTGACCCAAGCCATGGTATTTTCAATTGCCTCATAAGCATATGAAAGCTGGACAATGAGTAAGGAAGGCTGAAGAAGAGTTGATGCATTTGAACTGTGGTGCTGATGAAGAATATTGAATATACCATGGACCACCAGAAGAATGAAGAGATCTGTCCTGGAAAGTACAGCCAGAATGCTCCCTGGAAGTGAAGATGGCTATACTTCATCTCATGGACTTTCGGACATGTTATCAGGAGGGACCATTCTTGGAAAAGGACATAATTTTTTGAAAAGTAGAGGGTCAGAGGAAAAGAGGAAGACCCTCAACAAAATGTACTGACACAGTGGCTACAACAATGGGTTCAAACGTAGCAATGAGTGTGCGGATGGTGCAGGACCGGGCAGTGTTCTGTTCTGCTGTACACAGGGTCTGTATGAGCTGGAACTGACTCAACAGCACCTAACAACAACAGTTCCTTCTGGGATTGGCTGCTTCCAAAGACAAAGCCATTGCCCTTTACCAATAGGACAAGATCCCAAGCAGATTTACACTTTGAAGTAGGGGTACATATACCCTTACCCTGCCCAGAATGAAATCAGACCTCCAGGATTAGGGAGAGGGGACACACTATCCACTACCAAATACAGACAGAATCTTTATCACCATGGACTCACATGGAATAAGAGATAATGAGGGAGAGTGACATCACCCCACCACATACACACAAAGAAATTACAGGCATTACACATTGCTCTTTCAAGGGAGAAAGTACAGAAATCCCACCATTTCATCCTGTGTGGGATCATTGTCAAAGATCTTCATAGGTGGAGGGAGAGGTGTGTGTGACTCTTCATCTGGTTCATCTTCACCCCAACCTTTCTTGCTCTTCTAGAACAAAAGAGCAGCATTAGTTACTGTTTCATAAAGCTAAACATGCCAGTGATTCAGGACTTGAAGTTAATTCTATGGACAAAGAAAGTGAAGTAAAAAGGTGTAGGCTGTGTTGAGAGAGCAAGATAAATACGATATCCTCTTCTCTCAACAACCCTACACCTTTTCAGTTCAGTTTCTTTGTACATAAAATGGATACATTTGTTTATCTCAAAGGATGAGGAGGACTGAATGGGATAAAACACACACACACATACTCACAACCATGAGAAACATCTATTTTATAGCTTAGCCAGGTAAAGAGAAAGCTAAAACAGTGATAAAGAGAGCCTATCTCTTTAAGTTTTTGAAGGGTGCCATCTCCAGAGGGAAAAATGGCAGGTAGCATAAAATTACAATGTGGTGTCTGGTTACACATCAGGAAGAATTTCTTAGCCACATCAGTGATTATAGTAGGTCAATTTGCCAGATAAAACAGCTATCTTATTCCCTCTAGCCAAAATAAATCTGCTATGTTTTGATCACAGAACCTCACCTTTGGAAGGGACTTCTGAGGCCATGCAGTCTAAACTCTCAGGTAACACAGGGATCTCTCTCACTGTTTTGTGAGGTCACACAGTCTCCACACCCTTCCAGTATGGGTATCCACTAGTTTACAAGACTCATTTCATCACTAGATGACCCCACCATTAAAGTTCCTCTTTGAGCAGAAACTTTGTCTACTAGGACCTCATCTATGAATCATAATTCTACCCTCTGGAGCAACCTGAAATTGTCTTCTTACTTTTGTACATAGTACTGCTCAAGAAATCTGAAAATAGCTATCATGTCCTAGAACAGTCTTCTCTTTTCCAAGTGAAACAGTGTCTGTTCTTTTATTCTTATTCTAAATTTGTCTAGTAGGCTTTGATGTAGTCCTTAGTTGAGGCTGTGGCAAGGTAACCAATAATACCCTAAGGTTCTGAGGACCTCTAAATATGCAAAATGGTTTCTGTCTGCTAGATATTCTTGGTGCTAGTCAGTCTCTGAATTAGTCATGAATCAAATTGACCAAGATTCTGAGAATAACAAAAACTCAAATTACTTAGGCTCAAGAAAATAAAGTCTTGGGGACTAGAGACTGGCTCTGGTAGCATAGTGGCTAAGACACTTGCCTGCTAACCAGACGGCTGGTGGTTCAAACCCACCAGCCACTCCTCGGAAGGAAGGTTGGGCAATCCTACTTCTGTAGTGATACTGCCTCGGAGACCCAAGGAGGGGTCACTATGAGTCGGGTTTGACTCGACGGCACATAACAACAACAACAACAGAGACTGGCTAGTTTTCAAAACTTGTGCAAGGATGCATCACAAAGCATGTTGAAGTCCCTTCTTTGTGGAAGGCTCAGGGGTCCCAATATAAAGTACCTCATCTGCACTGTCTCCTTGAGGGGTTGTCTCATCCCCAGGCTTGGGAGATCCCAGATCAAAGCTCTTCCTACCATCTCGTACTTTCTTCTGCTTTTTGATGTTCCCATCGGCTTTCCCACTGTTAAGCCGGCGCACAGGACTTGTCAGCCACTTCTTCAGCGTGTTGGTGGAACGCTTGGGGCCGGGTGAACTGTGGATGGAGTTCAGGGAGGGCTGAGCCTGTAGGTTGGCCACTGACTCAGATTTGCCTCCATTTTCACTTGAGGAATGAGAGTAGGCATCTGAGGAAAAAGAACAGACAGACAGAGTCAAGTCCAAACCAAAACCAAACCCACTGCCATTGAGTTGATTCTGACTTACAGCGTGATCCTATGGAACAGAGGAGAACTGTCCCAAAGGGTTTCCAAAGCTGTAAATCTTATGGAAGCAGACTGCCTCATCTTTCTCCCACAGGTGGGTTTGAACCACTGACCTTCTGGTCAAATGCATTAAGCACTGTGCCCTCAGAGCCCCTTTAGAGTCATGTCAAGGGCAGTGAGGTCAAGTTGCCAACTTGGGAGTAAGACAGATCCATCCTCAGGAAGCTAGGACACAAGGTGTAATGTCAGACCAGCTACATATCCCCTCCTAGAACAGCAGGAATGGCCACTATTCACTCAATTTTTATGTGCTAGGCATTGTTCCAGATGCTATGGATTCAGGAAAAAAGAAAAGACAAAAGAACCCTGCCTTCATAGAATTTATTTTATGGTGGGAAATACATACAATAGACTATAATAACAATGTTGTTGTTTGCCGTCTAGTCGGTCCTGACTCATAGCGACCGCTCCTTGGGTTTCTGAAGCAGTATCACTACAGAAGTAGATTGCCCCATCTTCCTTCCAAGGAGTGGCTGGTGGTTTTGAACCACCAGCCTTCTGGTTAGCAGTCAAGTGCACTATGCTACCAGAGCTCCCATAATAACAACAATAGCATAAGTAAAATATAAAGTATGACTGATGGTAGAGAAATACTAAACTGAAAAACAGAGCCAGGAAAGGGGATAGACAATTCTGGAGTGAGAGGAAACAAACAAAAAACCAAACCCACAGCCATCAAGTCAATTTCAACTCATAGCAACCCCAATTGGGTTTCTGAGGCAGTAAGTCTTTATGGAAGTAGATTGCCTGGTCTTCCTTCCGCAGAGTGCCTGTTGGGTTTGAACCGCCAACCTTCTGGTTAGCAGTCAAATGTGTTAAGCACTGCACTACCAGAGTGAGAGTAAGAGGAGGGGCTACAAATTAAACAGGTCAGTCAGGGAAGACCCCATGAGATGACATGTGAACAAAGACCTATTCTCAGTTATCTAGTATTGCTATAACAGAAATACTACAAGTGTGTGGCTTTAAGGAACAGAAATTTATTTTTTCAGTTTAGAAGGTTGCTGTTGTATGCCGTTGAGTTGATTCCAACTCATAGTGACCCTACATGAGAGAGTAAAACTGACCTACATGGCAGCAGATCTTTTCTCCCACATAGTCACTGGTGGGTTCTAACTACTGACTTTTTGGTTAGTAGCCAAGTGCTTTAACCAATGCACCACCATGGATCCTTAGAAGTCTAAAAGTTTCAACTGTGGGCACTGACTCTAGGGAAGGCTTTCTTTCTCTGTCCACTCTGGGGGATGATCTTTGTTTCAGCCTCTCCAGCCCTGGTTCCTTGGTGTTATCCACATGGCATCTCTTTTCCATTTGTGCTTCCTTGTCTCCATGTCTATATTGCTCTTTACATTACTCAGAAGTTGTTGTTGTTGTTGTTGTTTGCCATCGAGTCGGCCCTGACTCCTAGCGACCCCTCCTTGGGTTTCTGAGGCAGTTATCACTACGGAAGTAGGATTGCCCAACCTTCCTTCCGAGGAGTGGCTGCTGGGTTTGAACCGCCAGCCTCCTGGTTAGCAGTCAAGTGCCTTGGCGCTATGCTACCAGAGCTCCTCAGAAGTAGGTTCTTTGTATCAATACCAGGCTATTTTGACAACTGTGGCTTTGCAGTTGGTTTTGAGATCTGGGAGTGTGAGACCTCCTACTTTGTTTTTCTTCAATAGTGTTTTTGCTTATCTGAGGTCTCTTTCCTTCTCATATAAAATTAGTAATTGGTTTTTCCATGTCTTTAAAGAATGTTGATGAAATCTGGATTGGGATTGCATTGAATGTATAGATTCCTTTGGGTAGTATTGACATTTTCACAATGTTCAATCTTCCTATCCATTAGCAGGGTATATTCTTCCATTTATGTAGCTCTCTTATGTTGTTGTTGTTATGTGCCGTCGAGTCGGACCCGACTCATAGCGACCCCTCCTTGGGTTTCCAAGGCAGTATCACTACGGAAGTAGATTGCCCCGTCTTCCTTCCGAGGAATGGCTGGTGGATTTGAACTGCCAGCCTTCTGGTTAGCAGTCAAGTGCCCTAGCCACTATGCTACCAGAGCTCCCAGATCTCTTATAGATTCCTCAAATAGTGTTTTGTAGTTTTCTTGGCATAGGTTTTCTGTGTTACTGGAAAGAATCATTATCAAGTATCTTATCTTTTTGGTATCTATTGTAAATGGTATTGATTTCCTTATTTTATTATTATTATTATATTTTATTATTATCCTTTTCAGAGATCTCTTTGCTGATGTAGAGGAATCCAACTGATTTTTGTATGTTGATCTTGTATCCTGACACTATGCTAAATCTCTCAATTAGTTCCAGTAGTTTTCTTGCTGAGTCTCCTGTTTTCCATGTATAGGATTGTATCATCTGCAAATAGGGATAGTTTTACTTCTTCTTTATCAATTTGGATGTCTTTGATTTCCCTTTATTGCCTTATCGCCCTGGCTAGGACTTCAAATACAATGCTGAATAGAAGCAGAGATAGATGGCACTCTTGTTTGGTTCCTGTTCGCAAGGAAAATGGTTTCAGTCTCTCTCCACTGAGAATAATGTTGGCTGTTGGTTTTGCATATATGCTCTTTATTATGTTGAGGAATGTCCCTTCTATTCCTGTTTTTCTGAGAGTTTTTATCAGGAATGGGTGTTAAATTTTATCAAATGCCTTTCCTGCATCTATTCATATGATCAAGTGATTTTTTTTATTTTACTTATATCATGTTGATTGTTTCTCTAATGTCGAACCATGCTTACATACTTGGTATGAATCCCAGTTGGTCATGATGTATTTTTTATTTTTTTATTTTTGATATGTTGTTGGAGTCTGTTGGCGAGGATTTTGTTGAAGATTTTTGCATCTATATTTATGAGGGATATTGGTCTGTAGTTTTCCTTTCTAGTGGTGTCTTTGCCTGGTTTTGGTATCAGGGTTATGTTTGCTTCATAAAATAAATTTGGGAGGATTCCATCCATTTCTGTGTTCTGGAATATCTTGAGTAGGATTGGTGTCAGCTCTTTTCTGAATGACTAGTAGAGTTCTCCAGTGAAATCATCTGGGCCAGGACCTTTATTTGTTAGTAATTTTTTTTTAATGACTTGTTCAATTTCTTCTTTTGTTATGGCTCTGCTCAAGTTTTCTACCTCAGTCTGTGTTAGGCTAGATAGGTAGTGTATTTCTAGAAATCTGTTCATTTCTTCTAGATTTTCAAATTTGTTGGAGTGCAGTTCTTCATAGCATCCTGATATTAGTCTTTTTATTTCTGTTGGTTTTGTTATGACATCACCCCTTTCATTTCTTATTCATGTTATTCCCATCTGCTCCATCTTTTCCTTTTTAAGTTTGCCAGTGGTTTGTTGATTTTATTATCTTTTCAAAAAACCAACTTCTAGTCTTGTTGATTTTTTCTATTGTCTTTCTATTTTTCGTTTCATTTACTTCTCCTTGAATCTTATTATTTTTTTTCTTCTGATGACTGTTGGCTTTTTTTTCTGCCCGTTTTGTAACAGAGAAGTTGGGTTAAGGTGTTAATTTTGGCTCTTCTTTTTTGATGTGTGCATCTATTATTATAAATTACCCTTTGATCACTGCTTTTGCTGTGTCCCAAAGATTTTGGTATGTTGTGTTTTCATTCTCATTTAATTCAAGGAATTTTTTAATTTCATTTTTTATTTATTCTATTACATAATCATTTTTGAGGAGGGTGTTATTCAGTTTCCACATGTTTGCTCTTTTTCCATTGGTCTTTCTAGTGCTGGTTTCTAATTTTATAGCAGTGATATGAGAAGATGCTTTGCAGTATTTCTTTGTTTTTAAATTTACTGAGGCTTGCTTTGTGGCCCAATATATGGCCTATCCTGGAGAATGTTCCATGTATGCTGGAAAATAATGTATATTTTGCTTTTGTTGGGTGAATTGCTCTGTACACGTCTATAAGACCAGGTTGGTTGATTGTCTTGTTTAGTTCTTCTGCATCTTTGTTAAGTTTCTTTCCAGTCGTTCTATCTCTTATTGAAAGTGGTATATTAAAATCTTCTACTATTACTGTGGAGTCATCTATTTGTCTTTTCAATTTTGTTACAGTCTAATTTATGTATTTTGGGGCTCTTTCATTAAGCGTATAGATATTTATTATGGTATGTCCTCTTGTTCAACTGCTCCTTTAATCATTATATAATGTCCTTCCTTTTCTTTTATGGTGATTTTTGTCTTAAAGTCAATTTTATCAGGAATTAATATTTTCACTCCTGCCCTTTTTTGGTTGGTATTTGCTTGGTATATCTTTTTCCAACCTTTGATTTTTAGTCTATGTTTGTCTTTGTGTCTAAAGTGAGTCTCTTCTAGCACAATGATGGGTCACATTTTCTTATCCAGTCTGCTACTTTCCATCTCTTGAGTGGTGCATTTAATCCATTTACATTCAGTGTAATTATTGACAAGTATGAAGTAGTTGCTGTCATTTTGTTATGTGTTTTTTCACGGTGTTGCTGATTTCTTTGTTCCATATAATTTTCTGTGCTGAGCTCATTTTGTTTATGAATCATGTTATCATCTCCTTCATTGCTATTGTTTTAGTATTTGCCAAATATTTGTGGTTTTCCCCTTTTTCATTTTGATGTGAAAGTTTATTATTTTTGAGGTCACGCTGCAATTTACAATTTTCTTCCCAAGTTTAAAACAGTCTGTTCTATCTTGCAATTGTTCTGATTTTCTTATTTATTATCTTATTTATTCTCTCTCTTTGGTTTGTAGTTCTCTTCATTTACCGATTGATGTCTCTCATTCTCTCTTTAGTCTTGTAAGCTTATTTTACTTTGGATACTTCTATAACTGGGTTAGGAGCTCTGGTAGCATAGTGCCTAAGACATTTGACTGCT